CAATAGGATGTAGACCCTTCTTCAATAGGGTATGGACCCTTCTCCAATAGGATGTAGACCCTTCTCCAATAGTGTATGGACCCTTCCCCAATAGGATGTAGACCCTTCTCCAATAGTGTATGGACCCTTCCCCAATAGGATGTAGACCCTTCTTCAATGGGGTATGGACCCTTCTCCAATAGTGTATGGACCCTTCCCCAATAGGATGTAGACCCTTCTTCAATAGGGTATGGACCCTTCTCCAATAGGATGTAGACCCTTCTCCAATAGTATATGGACCCTTCCCCAATAGGATGTAGACCCTTCTCCAATAAGATGTAGACCCTTCTCCAATAGTGTATGGACCCTTCCCCAATAGGATGTAGACCCTTCTTCAATAGGGTATGGACCCTTCTCCAATAGGATGTAGACCCTTCTCCAATTGTGTATGGACCCATCACCAATAGGATGTAGACCCTTCTCCAATAGTGTATGGACCCTTCGCCAATAGTGTATGGACCCTTCCCCAATAGGATGTAGACCCTTCTCCAATAGTGTATGGACCCTTCCCCAATAGGATGTAGACCCTTCTCCAATAGGATGTAGACCCTTCTCCAATAGTGTATGGACCCTTCCCCAATAGGATGTAGACCCTTCTTCAATAGGGTATGGACCCTTCTCCAATAGGATGTAGACCCTTCTCCAATTGTGTATGGACCCATCACCAATAGGATGTAGACCCTTCTCCAATAGTGTATGGACCCTTCGCCAATAGTGTATGGGCCCTTTGCCAATAGTGTATGGGCCCTTCTCCAATTGTGTATGGACCCTTCCCCAATAGGATGTAGACCCTTCTCCAATAGTGTATGGACCCCTCTCCAATAGGATGTAGACCCTTCTCCAATAGTGTATGGACCCTTCTAAATAGTGTGTGGACCCTTCTCCAGTTGTGTATGGACCCTTCTCTAGTAGCAGATGGACCCTTCTCCAATAGGGTTTGGACCCTTCCCCAATAGGGTTTGGACCCTTCTCAATAGTGTATGGACCCTTCCCCAACATTGGATGTAGACCCTTCTCCAATAGGATGTAGACCCTTCTTCAATAGGGTATGGACCCTTCCCCAATAGGATGTAGACCCTTCTTCAATAGGGTATGGACCCTTCTCCAATAGGATGTAGACCCTTCTCCAATAGTGTATGGACCCTTCCCCAATAGGATGTAGACCCTTCTCCAATAGTGTATGGACCCCTCTCCAATAGGATGTAGACCCTTCTCCAATAGTGTATGGACCCTTCTAAATAGTGTGTGGACCCTTCTCCAGTTGTGTATGGACCCTTCTCTAGTAGCATATGGACCGTTCTCCAATAGGGTTTGGACCCTTCCCCAATAGGGTTTGGACCCTTCTCAATAGTGTATGGACCCTTCCCCAACATTGGATGTAGACCCTTCTCCAATAGGATGTAGACCCTTCTTCAATAGGGTATGGACCCTTCTCCAATAGGATGTAGACCCTTCTCCAATAGTGTATGGACCCTTCCCCAATAGGATGTAGACCCTTCTCCAATAGTGTATGGACCCTTCCCCAATAGGATGTAGACCCTTCTTCAATAGGGTATGGACCCTTCTCCAATAGGATGTAGACCCTTCTCCAATAGTGTATGGACCCTTCCCCAATAGGATGTAGACCCTTCTCCAATAGGTTATGGACCCATCACCAATAGGATGTAGACCCTTCTCCAATAGTGGATGGACCCTTCCTCAATAGTGTATGGACCCTTCTCCAGTTGTGTATGGACCCTTCTCCAGTAGTGTATGGACCCTTCTCCAATAGGGTATGGACCCTTCCCCAATAGGGTTTGGAACCTTCTCCAATAGTGTATGGACCCTTCCACAATAGTGGATGTAGACCGTTCTCAATAGTGTATGTACCCTTCCCCAACAGTGTATGGGCCCTTCTCCAATACGGTATGGACCCTTCCCCAATAGTGGATGTAGACCCTTCTCAATAGTGTATGTACCCTTCCCCAACAGTGTATGGGCCCTTCTCCAATTCGGTATGGACCCTTCCCCAATAGGATGTAGGCCCTTCTCCAATAGTGTATGGGCCCTTCTCCAATAGGATGTAGACCCTTCTCCAATAGTGTATGGGCCCTTCGCCAATAGTGTATGGGCCCTTCTCCAATAGTGTATGGGCCCTTCGCCAATAGTGTATGGGCCCTTCTCCAATTGTGTATGGACCCCTCTCCAATAGGATGTAGACCCTTCTCCAATAGTGTATGGACCCTTCTCAATAGTGTGTGGACCCTTCTCCAGTTGTGTATGGACCCTTCTCCAGTAGCGTATGGACCCTTCTCCAGTAGCGTATGGACCCTTCTCCAATAGTGTATGTAGACTCTTCTCAATAGTGTATGGACCCTTCTCCAGTTGTGTATGGACCCTTCTCCAGTAGCGTATGGACCCTTCTCCAATAGTGTATGTAGACCCTTCTCAATAGTGTATGGACCCTTCTCAATAGTGTGTGGACCCTTCTCAATAGTGTGTGGACCCTTCTCCAGTAGCGTATGGACCCTTCTCCAATAGTGTATGTAGACCCTTCTCAATAGTGTATGGATTCTTCTCCAATAGGGTTTGGACCCTTCTCCAATAGTGCATAGCTGCAGTCAGCCTTAATCTGAGCTCTCTGGGTTTGCAACGATACCCTTCCCTCCATGTGTGCACCAGAGCGGAGCAACCAGGAAAACATGGAATGGATTTCAGCAGACTGTCATTTCTAATGAATCAAGTAAAATGGATTTCATTCAGAACATCAAAAGAGCACAAGGCTGAATAAATGTGTGTGTGTGTGTGTGTGTGTGTGTGTGTGTGTGTGTGTGTGTGTGTGTGTGTGTGTGTGTGTGTGTGTGTGTGTGTGTGTGTGTGTGTGTGGTGGTGGTGGTGGTGGTGGTGTGTGTGTGGGGGGGGAGGTGGGGGGGGGGTTCTCTGGTGTTTCCCTTTCAGGCTTTATCTTTGAATTTAGACAACCTTGCTGTCTCTTTTCTGTTTTTGTATTTCTGTACATCTCTGCTGGCCCTCTCAGTGTTTATTGGTGTTTTTAATGTCCTCTGGTTTCATCTTTAACACATTTGAGAAACTGGTGAATGGCCTGTTTTTATATAGCACCCTCTAGAGTCCTACGGCCACCCAAGGCGCTTTACACCACAACCAGCCATTCATCCATCCACACACTGGTGGCAATGAGCTGTAGCCACAGACACCTTCGGTCCCTCCTACCACCACCAGCAGGCAATGAGGATGAAGTGCCTTGCCCAAGGAGACGACAGTGACAGACTGAGCAGGGCTCGAACCTGCAACCCCGCGGTTATGGGGCGTGCACCTAAGTTGTCTGCCAACGGGGAACAAACTTCCTGCTCCAGGCGTTGTGTTGTGTCCTGAATAGGTTGAAAGTGGTGCCAGCTCTTCTCCATGCTATCCCTAAACGTGAAACAGTATATTGAGAGCTTTAACGTGCTTTTGATCAACTCTCCGTGCAGCTTCTGTCCATTTCCACACACTGCCATCCTCACGAGGCTGAAGCACACCCAAAGCTGGAAAAGCTTGGAGTTTTGATGCATTTAGCATATTTGTGGGTTATCGTTACAATACAGAGCAGATGGCCGCTGTGCTGGGATGTGCAGCACGTTCCTGCCTTACTGAAGACGGGACTCAGATGACAGGATGAATGAAGTTAACACTCTGGTCATTTGTAATTATAATATTTAGCCATCTGATCAAGTTCAGCCCTGTGGCACCCATCAAAGCGCCACTGCTGACACGCTGGGATGCAGGTAGAAAAGACAAGGGTGTCAGATTCAGTAAGCTTGCCCCTCTGTTCGCATCCAGTCCTCTCCTACGTTTGTAAATGAAAGCCGGTGCACCAAGATGGTCCTTCTCTTCCCGACGGCCACGCTGCAGCATTAGTTAGAGGCCAGACCCATCTGAAACCTGGGCCTTCGCCCCGCGCCCCTGCTCTCAATATACTGGCTTTGAAGCATGCAGGATGCAGACATGTATTCTTCCTGCATGGTCCCTTACACACTGCTTCTCTGCATGTAGTTTTAACAGCTTGAATCACACCAACACCACACGTCTGGGGACAGATAGCAACCCCTACCCTAACCAAACCCCCTGAAATGTAAGCATGGATATGATTACAAGGAGTGGGAGTTTCACACACATCACAGTGAGTTCGAAGCCTTAATCACAAAGACCTGTCTTGGAGGAGAACATGGAGCAGGCATTAAGAGTGGTCCAGCCTGTGCAGGTCACTGCTGGACCACTGGATCGGCTCAGCCAGAACTTCCTGGAGAAAAGTGTGAATGAAAATTCTGCTTTAAAATCAAGACAGCTGTTTTCTCCGAGCTCCTCCTAGACAGCCCACACAGGAGAGGGTGGGTGGCCAAGGCGGAGGTTCTGCACATGTATGGGAATGTCATTCCTTTAGTTTTTACACATTTAGCCGCCCTTTGGGTTGACATTTCAAGCATGGCTGTCAGCTATTTTCAACCAACGACTCTAAATGGTGGTTTGCATTGCTGAACCTTGTCTTGGACCGGTGTAGGTTACATCGTTCCTTTGTTTGGTCGGGTTTTCTAAAAGAGTTTCACCTCAGATGCTTATTTGTCTTGAAATATGTTTTAAACTCTTGTTTCATCGATGGTGTGCAGAAGGAGCCATTTGTCTCAACATCCATGTTTAGCCTCCTTCTCATCCCTTATCTCATCAATAATCACAACAATCCCAGTCCTCTTTCATCGTCCAAATCCCAGACGTCCCCAAACACCAGAACCAAGACTAGTTCCATACCCATACCCATCTGAGCTGAGGGTTAGGAAACCTGGTGTATCATCATGGTTCCTTCCTCCCGGTCAACAGTCAGCCTCCTCCGCCCACCACAGCACCCTGCTGGGCATGCTCACAGCCCACTAACCGTGTCTATGTCTGCTGAGTCTGTCTTCTACCTCTGCTTATCTTTATTGTTTCAGGTATCACGACAAACAGGAGGTAACGAGTAACTTCCTGGGAGCCATGTGGCTCATTTCCATTACCTTCCTCTCTATTGGCTACGGGGACATGGTACCGCACACATACTGTGGGAAAGGCGTGTGCCTGCTTACAGGGATCATGGTAGGTCATTCTCTACTGCCAAAACAAAATCATTTATCCAGTCTGTCTCCACGTTTTCAGGTTTTGTGAAACTTGTAGAAGTTCAGCTGGTTCCTTTTTCAGGTTGTTCATCAGAATCGGTTCGGTTCAGCTCCTTTGTTTTCATTTGCTTTTGTTGCAGGAGAAAATCCACACGTGTGCAAGAAATTTAAACATACATGCAAATCTGACCAAAGTCCTGCATAGTTTCACTGACACATTCTGACCAGAGTGTGGTGGAAATGGACCGCATCAAGCATCTCCACAAACCTTAGAGTAGTTGGCTGTTCCCGGTTAGCAGTGGTAGGACACCGAGCCAGCTTGGACGAGGATGTGTCTCTGTTGAACTGTGTCAGATCACAAAGAGCATTGTGGTTTCTGTCATGGGTTTCTGCTGACTTCTGTCTGCTGGTCATGACCACATCATTGTCTGACCTGAACCATAAGATAGTCAGTTTCCTGACTGGCGTTGGGCATCAACGTTTCCAGGTCAGATTCCAGTTCCTCGTTTTGATCGATTCCCGATTCTGATTCTTTCAAGAGGCAGGATCCAAAATCATGACATGTTTAAATGAGCCAGCTAACCACGGGTCGCCAAACTGGGAATGAAACTAGGAATCTAAATGACAAAATTTGAACCATTCCTGGGAGAATGTCCAAGCTCCAATCGATGCTCGATGCCCAACCTTAGCACTGTGGACTGACCCGCCTGGTATTATGTCATGGTCCCGGTGGACGTCCTCTTAAAAACCTCTTCAAAGCCACTATCTGTGGATTCTCCACTTCTCCATGGAGTCTGTGAGACTTTTTCTTTTTCATTGATCTGATCGTTTAATCTGCACGTGTCAGACTCAAGGCCCACGGGCCAGATGCGGCCCGCGGAGCATTTTTATGTGGCCCACGGGATAAATATCAAAAAGTATATTAAAACTGACCCGCTGGCCGATTTTACAGCAAAGACTACAACTCCCATGATGCTTTGCGGCGTCAACGCGGAGCTGAAGCGCCCCTTCTTTTGTGTTTTTTCCAGCGCCTGCTGCCGGTGTCTGCAGCTCCGCTGTCTCGGACAAACTACACTCCTCTCACTCAGCGCCGAGTTCACTCAGCTGTTTCTGACGTTGAAGCCCAGAAACGGAGATTCTAGCCGCTCAGTAAAGTGTTCACGACTGAAAGAGAAAGTTTTCCAACTAACGTCCAGACAGAGCTGATATAACTCCAGCGAGCAGCGACACGCTCAAACCAGCACGGCTCTGGTTGTGTTTCCTCCCCGACACACAACAACGTGGTCAAGCTGCTCAGACATGTTCATCAGCACAAATCTATGTGAGCACCTGTTGTCATCTAATGTTGTCATTATTATGATGAAGATGAACAAAACAACAGGAGTCTCCTCCTCAGCTCAGATCAACCCCATGATGCAGGTATCTGGCTGGAACAGGTGAGCATCACAGTAAACCAGTGGAGCAAACTGAGCTTTAAATATGTTGGTTTTATGCTCTTTTTCTGCTCCAAAACATGAAAGTTAACAGGTGAGATGTTGCATTTTCATTTAAGATAAAATGATATTTTTATTTTGTTGTTGGCCCGTGAGAAAAGATTTAACCTACAGTAAACAGGAAGTGGAAAGGCTGCAGATAGATGAATAGAATAGAAAATCCCTTTATTGTTCCTCAGTGGGGAAAGCTAGACGTCACAGCAGCGATGACACGTATTACAGGAGAAAAAAGGAGAATAAAAATAAGAAAAATGAATAAACAAGAAAACATAAATCCTGAATAGATAAAAAAAATGCTGATTAAACCACAAGTAATGAATACCACTGATGCCTTTTACTTAAAACTGACTTGCTCGTGTGTCATTTGGTTATTCCACATTCAGTGTTAATGCAGAAATATGTTTGTTTCCAAATTTAAAAGTTCAAAATTGCATATATGTTGATAAAGAAAATGTGCTAATTTGCGTCACTTTTTCAAAAAATATTAAGTTTGGCCCTCGACTCCGTCCCAGAGTTTCATTTCGGCCCCGTGTGAGTTTGAGTTAGACACCCCTGCTCTAATCTTGCACAACTGATTCTGTACACAGGAAGCTTTAACGACGCTGTGGTACCATACCAATGTATTCATAAAGCACAGTTTAAACATAGCATGGCCGCTAAGAGCTGTACACAAATCAGACTTACAGGACACGTAAAAGCACTATCCAAAGTAATTAAGGAAGGAAGTGATGGACACAAATAAAAACCAAAAGAGCTGTAAAATGCTATGAGGCGTAACTGAGAGAGCTACTAAGTCATAAAAAGCAAATAAAGAAAAGGAAAACCAGCGCTAAGACGAACAGAAAAGAGGGACGAGAGTCCTGCGAGTGTCATGGAGAAAAGGCAATGCTGAAGTGTGTTTTAGGACTTCCGACGGATGGAGCCGAACGCACATGGAGGTGCAGAGAGTTCCAGAGGTTTGGGAGCTCCATGAGCAAAGGAATGCTCCCCTCGTGATTTATACTGGACCTTCAGAACAACCAGCAGCAGACGATTGGCTGATCGACGGGGACGCGTGGGTGCGTTTGGAGACAACAGGTCTGCCGAATAGGATGGGGATGGGCAATTCTGCCTAAGCCGGATGCAAGAATCACAATCAGGACAGAAGTAGTGTAATCCAGATGGGGGGTCATGAACGAGTGAATGACAGACTCAAAATGCAGGTGTTTGAGGTGGATTTAAGATGTGTGGTGCGGCAGAGTTGGAAAGAGCAGGAGGAGGTAGGAGTAGGAGGTAAATAAACCCAATATAACCCTGTTTAGATTTTGCATTAAAGGCAGGTTTACTCTAGTGCATCAGACCTGTGAGACAGAGCCGAGGTTTCCTGAACGCATCACTTACACACACAGTATGTGAGAGGGGAGGAGATCAGAAGAAGGAGGAGGAGAGATGCATGCTGGTCTGGAGCACGTTGCTCTCGAGCTAGCAGAACTTTAGTTAGAGAAAAGTTAGTCACAAGTGTTTTCTTGAGCACAAAATAGTCCTGGATACTATTAAACAGCTGTTTCCCTAAGTACGGAGTGTCCACCGCTGACGACACGGAGTGGGTCGTGGAAGATGATCCCGCTGGGGCTTTTCTGGAACTTTCTTCAATCTATTCGGACTGGTTTTTTATTTGTTGTTGTGGAGAAAACTACCCGGTTCGGTACCAGCTGAAGTCCACCCGTTGGAGTCCAGGACATCAGCGCTGCGACGTGGAGGCCATCTGCGTACAGATGTCGACAGGTGGATGGTTGCTGCTGCATTAGGCAGTAGAACAATCTAGATGAAACTTTTCGACAAACCGGCGTTGCTGGAAGAGAGAGAGACGGAGAAAGTAGAGCATTTGACATTTTTCTCTATTCTTTCTTATTTTTGAAAGACATTGAAAATAAATATTTTGGGGATTTTATTTTGATATCTTTCCTTTACTTATATGAAAGAACAAAGAAAGTGAATGAAACTGTTTGAACTGTCATGCAAACGTATTATTGTTGGAGGTGCTACCTACTCATTTCACTGAGTTCGCTCCTCAGTCTCCCAATTGAAACTAGGGACTTCTTCTGACTGAATTTAGTTGAACTTTAGTATTTCTTTGAATTGTTGTTTACTGTAACCGTCCTGGTTTGAGACACTAGTCATATTGGATTTAGAAACCATAGGTATTTAACCTTGACACAGTAGAAAAAGAAGTCTACCCCAAACTTGAGCAAGGGGTTACGCACCAAACGTGGCGAGCTAGCCAGGAGATTGGTGACAGTAGCTTTTTGACCTTCCAACCCCTGTTACACATGTGAAGTTTGTGGTACATTATCTTTAATCCATCAAGGATGTTTGTAACCAGTTCAAACGTAACGGTCAGCACTACCAGGAGCTGTACAAACCTACACAGATGAAGAAACCCTGACGGATTTTAAAACTAATGCGGACATTTCTAAGATAGTCAGCATGAATCAGGACAACCGAAAAGGAGAGAACTAAGTTTGTGTGTGACAGGTTCATTTCTCGACCCGTCACCCTAGGTGCTTTCACAACTCCCAAAGACCCGTTTGTTTCATGGTCTGCACGGATCAGAGGTGCCTGTCAGGAGGAACTGGGCAGGGACATGGCTCTTAGATACTAGATCAAGTCGTTGCCGGTAGCAGTGGGACAGGTTTCCTGAACGCGCTTCAGGAGGAGCTGCAGATCACACACACACACACACGCTCACACACGCACGCACGCACACGCGCACGCACGCACGCACACACGCACACACACACACACACACACACACACACACACACACGCTCACACACGCACGCACACACGCACACACGCACACACACACACACACACACACACACACGCTCACACACGCACGCACGCACACGCACACGCACGCACGCACGCACACACGCACACACACACACACACACACACACACACACACACACACACACACACACACACATATCCATAAGCATACTGAATTAGTATTAAAAACTATAGTAACAGGAAGGTAAAATAATCTACAGATTCAGGAGAGAAGTGGTTGAAGGAAAGAAACTGTTCTTGTGTCTGGTAGTTTTTGTGTACAGCGATCTATCGCGTCTGCCAGATGGGAGGAGATGGAAGAGAGTAGATGCAGGATGTGTGGCATCTTGGACAATATTCACTGCCTTTTCCTGGTCCTGCTGATGTACAGTTCCTGGACAGAGGGCAGCTGGATGGACCGGACGCGGACTGAGCTGTGAGCTCCCGACTGCTAAGTTTTGTGTGTAGCGAGGGGCGGGCGCTCTATTTGACTGGCCAATCACAGAGCGTGAAGACAGTCAGTTACCCAATGAGGATTTTCCTTCAGCACGATTACAGATATTTACGAGTTTTACTCATTTCATGCTCGTATTCGTCAAAAATGCTTTATCCGTACCGGTTACTCGTCTGAAACGAGTATCCGGCTCATCCCTAGTCTCCGCACAACCAAATGATTATGTCACAAAACTTAATTCTGCTTCTGATGTTGTAGATGATGGGGGAGAATGATTTACTCAGTTCAAAGCAAAACATTGGAAAGAAGCCATAGGCATACTTGAACAGGCTTCACAGCCTCCTCACTAGGGCGATATCTGGAGGCGGAGTCTGAGCTAAAAGCTCCAGTGGTCACCTACTCAGACAATTCTTTAAAGTCTGTTGGGACCAGGGGTCTCATTTATCAGACATTGTGTAGAAACCTTACTAAAACCGTACTTAAGCTCAGCAAAACAAAAGTACTTACACCAAGCAGGTGTGTGATCTATCAAACATGGAGTACGCACAGCTGCACGCAAGCTCCGCTTCATAAATCAGAGACTATCTAGAAAGGTTCTCAGCTGCTTTTTAGTCACATCCCGCCCTCACCACGCCCACTTACTGCCATAAATGGTCAATGCAAAGTGCCTTGTGGATCTCATGCGTATACATAAGCCGGCTGTTGCAGCGCTCCGCCAATGACATGGCGACCGTAGACCAAGGCAGATCAAGGAAGCGCTATTACACAGAAGCAGAAGTTGAGGTACCTGTGGGTGAGGTGGAGAAATGAAAGGAAGTGCTTTTGCAAAACAAATAAGAGAAAATCCACGGAGTGGCACAGCGTTGCTGAAGCCGTCAATGCTGAGTTCTTCAGAGAGATCTGAGGCAGATATAAAACACAATGGCCCAATCAGGATTCGATCCCCAGACTCCCGGGTGAAAGTCACACACGCTAACCAGTCACCCATACGGACATCTCCCCTGTACAGGTAGCCAGGGTGCATGATCAATCGGGTCACAGTGACAGGACACACACTGTCACAGACGCATGATGTTCTGTCTCAATCTGCCCCCCTGCTGATATTCTGCATTCCTTATTCTGCGCTTCAGGCTGTGTGTGTGTGCGTGCGTGTGTGTGTGTGTGTGTGCGTGTGTGTATACAAGTGATAATGCTGCAGGATTTCATAACTGTATCTCCTCAGCAGCAGCACTGCAGGTGCTCTCCATGTCCAGCATGTGTGTAAGCCAGGTCCTTAGTCAACTTAAATTTGCGTACATTTTTCCGCTAAGTTTTCTTTCATAAACCCCAAAGTTTGCGTGGGAAGTTGCTTACGCAGTTTTCCCACCCCGTTTTGTGCGTAAGCTAGCTTGATGAATGAGACCCCAGGGCATTATCGTAGGTCTACAGTTAGAATGCAAAAACGGGAATCCCCACATTTCCCGAATTCCTCCTCATGTTGACAACTGAGGAAGATCAGGATTCCAGGAGCTGTAGTTGAGGATTACACTGTCTCACAAATCAGTTGAATGTAAAAGACACAATGCGGTTTTAGCACAATTTTTGACTGACAATTGCCGTAGCACCGAACAATCCTTACCGTCAGGTCTTACAGGGCCACGTTGTGCAGTTTCTGACACTGGGTCGCAAGTCACAACAGCGTCTGAGAGTTCCCATAAGAGTCATTTGTCCCACCTACCCTTACATCCAATTAACGCTCATTTTCAAATGGAGGGGGCTGGGGGGCAGTGTGCTCCTCATATTGGCTACACAGTAGCCAGTGTACCATTACCCTTTTCCAGCCTGAACAAAGAAAAAGAGTTAGTCAAACCTCAGGTCCATTCCAGAAGTTTTTGCAGCAGAGGATTTGTCATATGGTCATACCACTGCGGTAAAAGCACCATATCAGACTACATGACGAAACGCCCTTTAAGGAGAGACCTAGACCTATTCACCCTGGTGATAGAGAAGCTGTAAATCAGCATCTTGAAGAGCTTCTTGATTCAGGAAGTATTAGAGTCACAGAGTTATTTTGCGTCGCCAGGAGTCGTGGTGCGGAAAAAGGGTGACTCGATAAGGCTATGCATCCACTACAGAAAGCCAAATACTCAGACCGTCAGAGATGCATATGCTCTGCCGAACACTGAGGAGACCTTCATGGCCCTCAGCGGTGCTACATGGTTCTCCGTAATGGACTTTAAATCTGGTTATTACCAGGTAGAAATGGCTGAAGAGGTCAAGCCAGCTTCCCCCCTTCCAAGGGCACGGGGTCACGGACAGAAGACCACGACCCGTTGGACAACCATACACTGATATAACTGCTCCTAAAATCAGCAGATTTAAGTTATATACACAGTTATGTGGCCCAGTTTAATTTATCGGACTGATACTGATAAGTAAAAAAATGACCAACATTGGCCGATACCAATACTGATGCTGATATATTGTGAATCCCTAATGAAATCACAATTGAAGTATCTTTCCGGAGTTTTCCTCTTGCAGAAATGATGTATGATTTTTCATCATTTTGATGAAATACTCTGTTTTGGTATTCTACATCGTTATCGGCAAATATCAGTTATTGGCCATAGCGTGATATTCATATCAGTATCAGCCCAACTATTTCATATCAGTGCATCACAAGTTCTCACAACACACTGGAAGAGCACGAAGCTTGACTCATGCAGATATTAAGCCGCCTTAGAGTCTATGGCTTCAAGTCGTCCCCAGGAAAATTAAATTTTTTTAAGAGCTCAGTTAAGCATCCTCCACAAGAAGGTGACGCTTACACTAGGAAAGGGACTTATAGCAACAAAAGATGAAGTCTCATCAACACGCACTAACACTGTATTGGAGCAGGCGGAGGGAGACCAGGGGTCTTAGCACACCTCTGTTGTCACTTGGCTTCCCGGGGCTGGAGGCTAGGAGGGGGAGCTGGCCTTCATGTTGGGGTCTGGGGTGGTGGGATGCTTTACTCAGCGTTGGCGGGGGGAGCCTGCTCATCATCACCCCAGCAGAAAGTGGTGAACTCTGGGAACCGGTGCTGGTTGTACCCTTTGTGCAGCAGTACCAGGATCAGAGTGAACAGGGTGTGTATGGCGAGCGTAAGTGGGGATCTAGCATTCATTTTTGTAAGTCTTAGGTTGTATGTGTGTGTGAGCATGAGGGAGGGAGTGTGTGACTGTGTCTGTGTATGACTGTATATGTCAGGTGCTCTTCTGGCACTTCTTCTGCTGCTTCACATCTTCGTCTCCCCTCCCTCTGCCACATTTGGTGTGGGGTGTGGTGCCTTGGTCTGCCTGAGTGTTCGTGGCTCCCAGATCAGAGGGTTTAAGATTTTTGGCGTCTGCCTGATTAATCCCGGTGGCTGCCTTGTGGGATCTGGGTCCCTGGGCTCTGCTGGGTCCCCGGCGGGGGTGGTCGCCCCTGAGTCCTGGGTCGCTGGGTTCCAGGCTCAGCTAGCTTGGGGGTGGGAGGCTGCAGGCTGGCCTGTGTGCTTGCTGCTGACATCTCAAGGGGCTTTGCCAACTGCTGGTTGTGGCCCCCCAGGGCAATCCTCTGCGCCTCTCGAGGGGGGCAGGGGCTTTTCTGGTTGCAGTCTCCCTGGGGTCCCTGTGCTCTGGGGCAGCTCCTGGATCTCTGGGACTTGGAGCTCCCCCCGTCTCCTACACATCTTTGGAGGGCAGATCTGTGGTCCCTCACACTCTCTGTTGGACGCTCCTATAGAGAAACCTTACATAAACAAGCGCGTGTACACACACAGGTGCTCACATGGTGCTCTCATAAGTATGGGCTTGGGCACGTTCAACACAGGTCTTAAGGCTGTGGTGGGCACTAAATGCACTGTGATTTATTATCGTGTGACTGTTCAGTTAAACAGTGTTTATTATATATTTCCTCATCAGGTTGACGCAGTGATAGCTTGCTCCTGATGTATTGTTGTGTGTTGTTTTTCTCTTTCTGCGGGTCTAGAAGCAGACTCTTGTTCATCACTGGTTGTTTATTTTTGTGTAACCCCCCACCCCCCCACCCCCCTCCTTTTGTCTCTCCCTTTCACCTCTGACTCCGTGTCTGGTCGGAATTACAAAGCATTCAAAAACAATAATAAAGTTTTAAGTATCAGGCATGACATTAGAAGCAGACTCTTGTTCATCACTGGTTGTTTATTTTTGTGTAACACCCCCCTCCTGTAAGGCTTGTCACCAGCATTCAGGCATCAATTATGTTTGCTTCAGACAGGACACGGGGGAAAAGTCAGTTGTGAAGTACTTCCTGCACTATGTCAACCTCATTCTGTGATATTTGATGACAAACAACACGTCACATGTGCAAATTGTCATTGTAGAGTCCCTTGTCGTTAACCCCTCTGTAGTCAGTGATGTTGACATTTTACCAACCACGACTAACTCTGATTTGATTTGATTTATTTTTATTCAAACATTAGAATAAGATAGAAATAAAATGAAATATTTACAA